CAAAAAGCTGTTCACAGAAAAAATCTAATTTCTTCTCTGATCATAGGCTATCACAAACGTAGGTTGGAGCCAGTCTATGTAATCACTGTCTAGTGCTGTGCTTTTAAGCATATGGATGAACTTTGTGCATGCTTTTCTCATGCCTGTTACAGATGTTAGGGATTAATATTTTCGTTGACAGTTTAGCTGCCAGAGGCCCCCACTGTTTAAACATAGATGATAATACACAGTTTTCATAATACAGAAACAGGTTATTTGACTCAAAAGGCTCAAGCTGGTTCTACTGCTTCATACAAGTCTCCTGCCACCCCACTTCATCTAACACCATCAACAACTGCTTTCTCCCTCAGGTGTTTTTTTAGTTTCCTCTTTAAATCATCACTGCCTGTTGACTCAACTACTCCTTCCGGTCGCAGGTTCCATGCACAAGCCACCCTGTGGCTGAGGAACTGCCCACTGGATTTATTAGTGACTACCTTACACTTATGGCCCCTAGTTCTTGTGTCCCCTGCAAATGGTAAATATCTTCTGTTTGTCTACTCTACTGAACCCTTTAATCATCTTAAAGACATCAGTTAATTTCATAATCTCATGCTTGGTACCAACAGAGCTGTATTACAAATACTCAACTGATAACAGTATATTGACATAAAACTGCAATATTTTATGGCTTTTATATTCCAAAGAATGGTATAAAACTCAAGTGTAAACTCTGAATTAGACAAAAACTCTCAACCTATGAAATAAATTAACATGACAGTACTGCATAAATGTATTCAAGTAATGAAAATTCACAAGTTTCGTAGATTTAAACAAAATGTGCAATTTGGCATGAGATGATTGCAGACAGGCTGTGGAAATAATGACTTCCTGGAGATGGGTAGCAGGTTGCATTTCATGCAACCCTCTTAAATTCGTGGAAACTCTCTCCTTTTCCTTTTGGTGCAATTACTCTCTGGATTCAAAGTTTCTCGAGATACATTTACATTTACACTGTATAATCTTCAATGCAAAGAGAGTCAGGCCTCAACTGATTCAGGGAAGCATCAGGAAGCTGCTAGATAACTTCGGTTTTGGCTGGGAAGTGCAAATTCAGTGCAGTATAACACTGTTTAAAAAGCGATCAAGAGTTTTTGTCCCTTAGATCTCCTGCTTGTTCCGGAATTGCACTTAGCATAAACATTTAGATAGTGCAAATACTTATTTCCCCACTGTCTAAAATGTGACTGCTCAGAAAGGAATTTTGTACACGTGCGTAACTACACAAATGAAATATCCTGCCCTGAGTGTAAAACCAGTCAGATAGAATACAGATAAAATGAATAAAGAACTGTCTTGTTGGAACTGGCTGTCACATAATTGGTCCTTCCCTTTTCCACTCTCCCTAGTTGTACATGCGAAAACTATCGGAACTGCTCTGTTACACATTCATGATTAAACAGCATGTGTCTCCATTTATTATGTTAGTTTAATGATAATAGATTGAGCCAACAGTACTGCTGTCAGCAACCGGTGTTTATTTGTTGATTTGTCTAGCTTTTTTAAAGCCAATGCTTAGGCAATGCTGCTGTGGTGCAATAACAGTACATGCAGGTACAAACAGCTGTCTCAGAGCACTGGCCTTGAAATTATCCATTGTATGGATGTTTAATGATGCACAAACCTTTTACTGGAATTTCTAAGAGGCAGTTTACAGAAATAGCCTAAGTTAAAATGATGTAAAGTGATAATATCATCATGTTATGTTCATACACTAATATCCAGTTATTTCAAACTGCAGTATTATTTTAGTTGCCATGGATTGCCTGTTTAGCATAGTTGTGATGATTTCAACAGGGATAGAGAAACATTATATCTCCTGAAAAACTATTCCAGGTGTGAATCACTCTTTTGCATTAAGCTGTGCTTTGTCCCATCTTTCATGGGCATGTAACTGAATCTTAATGCATCACATTAAAATGTCAATTCCAAATATTATCTTCCACCCATCGTGTATGGTTCCTTCTCATTTGTCCCCTTTGATGGCTGGGGAGTCCTGGGTTGCAGACTATGTACCTTGAGTAAATTAAGAAAATTGCATGGAAAAGCCAGCAGTTGCATTTACCTGGCAACTGGACAATAACAGGCTCTTTCTTCAGATTATAAAGAACATTAATGGTAATGAAAAGAGAAAAAACACTCAGCCTCTGGAAACTGTTTTAACAAGATGGGAGAACATTTAGTTGCTTTGTTCTAAATAATGTAGCTGAATACTCTAGCTGCCTTTATATTAAAATAAATTGCAAGATAAAGTTAACAAGCTCTGGGTACCAAAGCAAAAAGCACTTTTTTTTAAGTTTTGGCTTTTATTTTTTTTGTAAAAATAAACAATTTTTTAAAAAACTCTTCAAAGTGGAGTTCAACATAAAAGAAAAAATACAATAAAAATGAACTCAAAACTACCTTTAAATATTAAATACACATTTGCTTTTGGTCAAGTCTCTATTCTTCCCCCTACTGTTCTCCAGGAAGACAGCTTCTAAGAATTTTCAAAGGGGTGGCTTCTTTGCACCTTGTATACAATTAGCCACTGTCTATTTTCAAGAACTGAGCTGCAAACATTTGTAACTTTTATGTACAATGATAAATTCATCTTGTTTTATAGATTTGTCACTTTCTCATTACCTTTTAACCAATAATGCTGTTTCGTCCTGATCTACTGACATAGCATTTGACTAGATTACAGCTTCTTTCACACTGCCACACATGTATATTCCCCTCATGAGAACTCCTGCTGCTGGTAAACAGGAAATGGTAATCAGGAAGTCAGCTCCCACTCCAATCACTATGCAGTTTTCCCAACCACTTAAATCACTATAATGTATCCTGAAACCTTGCTTGCTGCAATCCCCAATTCCCTTCACACTCGCTCCATTCGACTCGCCACTTTCCCTGCTCCCTTTTGCCATTCTCTGCCCAAACTACTAATCCCTGGCTATTCTCCTCTATTATCCTGCCATTCTCCTTGTTCTGTTGCCTGTTTCCTTACATCCCCCTCCATTCCAGAAGTGATTCAGCAGAAAGAGGCCATTGGTGGCTGGGGTGGGGTTTGGGGCTGAAAGGGAGTGATGAGATATGAACAGAGTGACTGTTAAGAGCAGACTGTTAGTCAAAGTGAGGAAAGTGGCGAGGAGAACAGGGAAAGCAGCTAGGGACTATCAATAAACCATTTTTAAATTAATTAAATTCATATTTCCAATTGCGTGCCAACTGCCAGTTCTTAAGGTGCCACTGAGCTGAAATAGTGCCTGCACTGAGAAACCTCCTACGATTATCCAAGGTAACGTTGAGTTACAGTGTTCAATGCAGACTCTGCTCAGGACGTCACTGTCCTTGATGGCACAGGTTCTGACTTGGCATCTTTGCATGTGCATCAAGTGCACCCTCTCATATGAGGCATAAATAAATGCAGCCTATTCAACCATGCCATATAAAATGTTTAGTATAGTTAATCAAAGTCACTTCTGTTTTTCCTTACAATAAGTAACTTTTAATTGTTCTTCTGCCATTAAACTTACTTTATAACAATCTAAATTGATACACTTTTCACTCTAAAATGAATCAAAAGACCCTGAAATACCACTAAAACAAACTAACTCTGGCTAAACTCAAAATTGTGAAACAGATTATTTCTGAAACAATTAAACCATGGCTGTTGTAGAATTAACAGGAAAGATCACGAAAATGCTGTGGGGTGGAGGCCAACATGTCTCCTAGCAATTTTCTTCAAAATAATCCATAAAATGTTATCTATTGCAGGGTTTTCTATTCTAATGAGAGCACAAAGGACAGATGTCCCTCATGACATCAACCCCACGCTCCACGAACACCAAATTCCAAAAGCTTTTGTGCAAATGTTTGTGTCAGGAAACAATTTCCACTGTTTCTTAACTAAATCTATCTTGTCAGACCATGGCACTACAGCTAAATCCATCTTTTGCCTGATACCCTTTTTTTGGTATGGGAAAGTTACCTTGGAATGAGAAGCAACAGACTGCACTGCTTAGACTGGAAGATCAGTTTTCAACTTACAAACTCGGACAAATCTCATCTGAGTTTCCTCCATACTTAGCTGAGCTTCCAGTTACAGCACCTAACAAAGCTGAGGTACTTAGCTCAATTTAAGTTTGCTTCAGCACCTTGCATTGGGTAACTATATTAGGGCATCAGTAGATATATGAAGGTCCCAAACTCTGTTCATGAGTTACCATGAACAGGAATGAGAGTAAAGATACTGAATTATCTTTTTATCCTGTTAGTTTGTTTACACATGTGACAAGTGAATCTAAATGACATACTCCATCCATAATATAAAACTTGTCAGGAGCTTAGTGTTGTATCTTGCCTAATGAGAATGCTGTATTTAATGAAACCTCCACAGCAACATCTTTGTCAAAAATATCTCATCATCAAGAGGCCAAGCTTTATAAGGACTGAGACTTTTATAATGAGGGTGCACTTTTGTAAATGAAACACAGCCACCTATCCACATGATTTTTTTTTCTAAAGGTGGCAGATTTTGCTGGGTGGTCAAGACCCAGTGCGTTAAGTGTTTGATTTTAAGAACGCTGCTTAGGAATGACTTTGGCAAGTCAAAAGATGGCAATTTTTATACTATATGGGAATATTTCCATGTCTTTAGTTATTGGCTAGGTAACAGGCTGACTTATTGTTGGAGATATTAGCAGATAAATACTTAGTATGTTTGTGACATTCCATTTTCTGATATTTTAATGGAGTGTTTATCTTAGTTTGGATGACTCTCCATTAAACAAGGCAGGCAAAGGAATGTGCCATGGGTTTGTGAAATAATTATGCCAAAAATAATTTATTAAATATTTAATAAGTTTAACTATTAAAAATAGGCAAACTCTTAAGTGCTTCCTATCCATCCCCATTACAAGATAAAAGCTATTATTTTAAAAAGGTATTTATTTTATGGTTGGATCAGCAGCTTTATATAATGGGATTTGGAACACTGGAAATCTATGTTTAACTGACATATTCATTTACTTACAGTCAACAATAAACATGACAAAGAGAGATCTGCCTTTTAACTGTTGTATAAATAGAAGAAAAGCCCTCTAAGTCTTGTATAATCAATTATCTAGATTCCAGTACAATGACAAACTTATGAAATTTTAATTCCAGTACTCCTTTAAGTTTTGTTCAGTCGGCAGGACCAAGACAGTAAGGTGCTAAAACCTGCATCTAGAATGTGTGTTACAAAAGGTGTCTGCCTTAAGTATAAGGAAGGATGCCAATTTGAGATTTCATTGTGGGGAAAAATTAGTGTCTTCAGAGTGTTCCACACACTATACAGCGGTTAGTGCACAAGCTGGACTACAGTGAAACTGGAAGTCAGAAATATCCTGCACAATAAATTATTTCTGAATTGTCTTAAATTTTCTTTCTTTCCACTCTCCCCTGGCCCTTCTTGTTGTCTCAAATGATGCATTGAAAAGCTCAACTAGGATTTGTGAAGCAAGTCTTCCAATCATTCATTTATAATCTCCATATCAAACAATTTAAGGCCATAGCTTACTCCTTTGCATGCTGCTGAGATGGACCCACACAACTCCACTGACTGCTTCTGCACTTTTCTGTGGTTCGGGTCTGTAGTTTGTACAAAATGGGAATGAAGAAGATTCACGTTTTCAATATTCTGGGATCTGCTTGACCTGACACCACCAGTGCTTCCTGGAGATGATGTCAGTTAATAGCTTCCAATGAAAGAACTGTAGGGAATGTGAACATGGAGAGTGCAATCCTATAAAAGTCTACAGAATCCCACAGTTAATAACTCCGGACTGCTTTGACAAAACCACAATATCATCCATGTTTGTGCATTAACCACTGACTGACACTATTACTTTAACGTGTTCATTTCCCTGAGCTTAATCTCCCTTTAACCCCTTCTTCCTGTTTAAGTAGGTTTCATAAAAGAAGCAGCAAAAGAGAAGAAAGTAGCTAAAGTACATAATGGAAGACAAGATGATATTTGCAAAAAAGGAAGGGCAATGACCCTCGTGCATCCACATGTATATCAGCACGTTAACCACAATGCCCATTATCATCTGCATGATCTGGGTGAGGGTAATAAACATGGCAAATCTACGTGGCACATGAAAGCCTGCAGCACGAAGTGTATAGTATGAGTACATAAAGGCATGGACGCCATAATTCATTGTCATAAACCAGCCGCCACCAGCTACCATATCTTTGTAAGAATACCAGGAGTACAGCAATACAGTGATGTGGTGATACCAGTGCAGGAATATCAGCTTCTGTTTCCGTAAAACGATGAACATAGTGTCACCTGTAATAGAAGGTATCAGATAGTTCAGCAAAATTTTCATAAAATGTGGAGCTTAGTGAACAGGTAAATACAAAAGCCACTGTGGTCAAATCCTGATCATGAGACAAGAAGATAAGTTATAACTGACACAGTATTATTTTTGTTTCAAATTGCATATTTGTATTTGTGAAAAGTAAACATATCCAAATCTCCCTTAAGATGATCTGGCCTTAAACATTTTAAGTGACTACTTGTAAGTTTATATACATATTACAGGATAAAGTTGCTATTTTGGGTGTAATTGGTGGCGATCTGAGTGAAAACTGCAACCGGAATTCAATGATTTTAAACTTACTTTCATTCAAGTTTCCACTCAAACTCACTTTTAAATTGCTGAACATATGATATTAATTGGACAGTTATAGATCACAATTATTTTTTAAAAACCGTTTCAATGTTTTCCGTGATATATGTACTTGGATATTGGTAACGAGTTGCAATTTCATTAGTACAGCTGAAGATGGGTTTATCACAAAACATGCATTTTAAGCAGAATGTCTGGTCCACCATCTGTGAGTAAACTAGCTTTAAATAGATAAAAATATCTTTTAAAAAACTGAATCAAGTTAGCTTGGAAAGTGGGAGGGCAGAAGAGGTTGAATCCTTCACTACAACTTGAACCTAAAGGTAGCTAATTAACTATAGCTTGATCATTTTACTTTGCAGGGAGGAAAGGGTGGAAGTTTAGGTTGTACAAAATCAGGAGAACAATTTCAACAAAACACCGTATATAAACATTTCAAATGGGTTGGCAATGAATATGAGCACAATTTCGTGGCCTCTACTTTTCTTACCTAGTTCTGGAGCTTTGCTCAAGACAAATGCATATGCCCAGAATTTGCTCACAGGTCCATTGTAGAAGCTCTGGTCACACACGGATTGCTTGAAGCCACTGGTATACAGGACATGCCACATGTACCACCCTGTTCTGAAAGCACCAAGTATACTGTTGGGGAAGAAAACATTCACTATTATTTTCATAACACTGCATATTCCCATTTTTGTATCGTTAGAATATATGTTTCTGTTATAAATTAATACAATGGTAATATACTCTTATTTTTAGCATCATCTTCTTGGATTACCTGTCTGACACGGAAGAACAAAGTGTTTTTTCTTAATGCTAAGAGTTTGTAACAGCAAGAGGTGAAAGATAGAACGGGAAGACATTAACAGAGAACAGGTTAGTGACAGCAGGAGAGATGATTTTTTTAGTCTTCCTGTACCCTGTTGAGATGAGTTCACGTGTTTCAAGAATGAGATCATGAGCTTTCTTCAGCATATCGAGAGGTTTAATTTTAAAATTAGATTTACCTCTGATTATCAGTGGTCTACTTTGAACTGCAGGGGATGTAGAAGCTCAGGTTTATTGTCAGTTTACTTGCTCATAGAATTTTGTAGCTGATCAAAGTATTTCTGAAACTAGACTGATCCTCTCCTGTTCAGTCCTATGCTCACTTGACATTTTGAAATTTACAATCAAAATATTTGATTATTTATCGTAGGGACATAGTCATACAGCTGGACATAGACCATTCAGTCCAATTAGTCCACGCCGACCATGTCTCCAAACTAAACTAGTCCTATTTGCCTGTGTTTGGCCCATATCCTTCCAATCCTTTCATATTCATAAATGTTGTAACTGTACCTGCATACATCACTTTTTCCGGCAGTTCATTCCACATATGAACTACACACTGTGTATAAAGGTTGCTTCTCATGTCCTATTTAAAACTTTCTCCACTCACCTTAAAAATATGCCCCCTAGGTTTGAACTCCCCTACCATTGTTTTCCACCTTATCTATGCTCTTCATGATCTTATAAACCTCTACAAGGTTACCTCTCAACCTTCCTCCTGTGAAAAAAGTCCTAGCCTATCCAGCCTCTCCTTATTATTCAACCCCTCCTTTCTTGGCAACATCCTGGTAAATTTTTTCTGAACCTTCCCCAAATTAATAATATCCTTCCAAAGCAGGGCAACCAGAACGAGGCACAGTACTCCAGAAGAGACCTCACCAATATCCTGTACAACTGCAACATGATATCCTAACTCCCATATTCAAAGATCTGAGCAATGAAAGCAAGCGTGCTAAATGCCTTCTTAACCACTCTGTCAACCTGTGACACAAATTTCAAAGAATTATGTACCTGAACCCCTAAGTCTCTCTGTTCTACAATACTACCCAGGATTCTACCATTAATTGTATAAGTCTTGCTCTTTTTTGTTGCACCAAAATGCAATACCTTGCATTTATTCAAACTAGACTCCATCTGCCACTCTTCAGCCCACTGACCTGATTGATCAAGGTCACTTTGTAATCTTAGATAACCTTCTTCACTATCCACGATGCCACCAACTTTGGTGTCATCCGCAAACTTACTAAGTATGCCTCCTATATTCTCATCCAAATCATTTATATAAATGACAAACAAAACTGGACCTATTACCGATTCTTGTGAAACACCACTGGTCACAAGCTCCCAGTCCAAAAACCAACTATCAAGCCAATTTTGTATCCAATTGGCAAGCTTACGGTGAAACCCAGGTGATCTAACCTTTCTAATTAATCTACCACGTGAAACTTTGACAAAGGCTTTACTGAAGTTCATGGAAACAACATCTATCGCTCTGCCTTCATCAATCTTTTTGGTTACTTATTCAGAAAACCCAAACAAGTTTGTGAGACACAATTTCCCTCACACAAAAATATGCTGACTATCCCTAATCAGTCCTTGCCTCTCCAAATGCATGTAAATCCCATCACCTCCAACAGGGGAGCACATGATTTTTTGTCACTTGCAGTTAATAAGCATTTTTAACACAGGAATAAATCTGACTCTGAGGACTTCACAGATGCCAGCAGACCTCCATCCTTTTACACTACCTTCTCTGTATTCAAAAAGGAAACAATATTAATAATTCAACAAAAGAATCTTGTTAAAATACAGGCAGCCAGTCAAAATTCAAACTCAGGATTTGATGCCAAATTATATTAATGAGTGTCAACATTTGCCTTTGAATCTTAAGGCTGTGGGTTCAACTCACGTTTCACAACTTGAGCATAAGAAATAAAATCAGTACTCCCTCACTGCAGCAGTGAGGATGTTGCACTGTTGGAATTACCCAAAGCTCCAACTGCCTTCTTAGGTGGACATAAAAGATCCCATGGCAACATTTTGAAGAAGGGAGTTGACTCAGCCAATATTCACCTTTTAATTAATAGCACAAAAACAGATTAACTGGGCATTATCACATTGCTGACTGTGGGAGCTGACTATCTGCAGATCAACGTTCACATTTCCTAAACAGTACTGACTACACTTGGAAAGTATTTCACCAGCTGTAAATCACATTTGAACGTGCTGTGCTCATGAAAGCCACAATATATAATCAACTTATTTTTCTGATAGACTTTCTAAACCATTTAATGCTATTCGAGGGCAATAGTCTATCAAGGCCACCAAGAGACAATTCCTTCTCACTTTAGTTAAGACTGCTAAGGTGAAAGTTTTGATTTGTCCAACAGATGGCTCAGTTATCACCCAATTAAACTCCTTTCTCACCTTTAAAACAGCACCAAAGTCACACTTAGTTTGTGTGTGAAGCTTTACTGAAACATCATGGTGTTGGCTGGGATACATGAGTGAGGTTCAAAAATATTGTTTGTGAAAGCCACTGTGGTATACAGTTGTCAAATTGCTCCAGTCAATCAATGCAAAAGAAAAAGTCAAACAGAAACTTGCAGGTACTACAGCAAATGTCAGCAGGTGAACATTCAGGGTGCAGTGATCATTGTATCATAAAGTTTAGGATGAGAATAGGAAATGATAATGGACAATCTAGAATAAGAATAATGAACTGGCGTAGAGCTGATTTCAATGGGGCAAGATCGGAGTTGGGCCAGACAGATTGAAACCAAAACAAAGTTGCTGGAAAAGCTCAGCAGGTCTGGCAGCACCTGTGAAGGAAGAAACAGAGTTAACGTTTCGGGTCCGGTGACCCTTCCTCAGAACTCAGTTTTTGTTCTTGATTTACAGCATCCACAGTTCTTTCGGTTTTTATTTAGACTGAAACCAAAGATTGGTGACAAAAACTGTAACTGTACAATGGGCTACCTTTAAAGAGGAGATGGTTTGGGTACAGTAAATGGTATATTCCATCAAAAGGTGGGAAAGGTGGGACAAACCAATCCAGTGCTCCATGGATGACAAAGAAGGTGGAGAGCAAGGTAAGAAAGAGTATTTATGACCAATGTCAGGTAGTAAATACAATTAAGAACAAAGGTGAAAACAGAAGGATCAGAAAGGAGTTGAAAAAGCAAATAAGAAAAGCAAAGACCATGTATGAAAAATAGACCAGCAAGAGATATGGCTGAGATGTTAGATGAACACTTTACATATGCACTTGATAGCAAGGCAGATACTGCCCGGACCCGAAACGTTAACTCTGATTTCTCTTCATAGATGCTGCCAGACCTGTTGATCTTTTCCAGCAACTTTTGTTTTTGTTCCTAGACTCTGACCTTCTTTAGTAACCACATTACCATCTGGCTAGGCCAATTCAATTTCTGGAAACCCCCAGTTTGTTGATCGTGCAGGATTCAATGATGTAGCCATAATATTACAAATAATTCTGAACTCGTGTCTCTTAAGAGCCATTGGGCTATATCCAGCATTTTCCTGCCTGACAGTCAAAGTCATAGAGATATACAGAACAGAAACAGATCCTTCCGTCCAACTTGTCCATGCCGACCAGATATCCTGAATAAATCTAGTCCCATTTGCCAGCATGTCGATCATATCCCTCAAAACCCTTCATGTTCAAGTACCCATCCAGATGCTTTTTAAATGTTGCAATTGTAACAGCTCCACCAATTCCTCTGGCAGTTCATTCCATACACGCACCACCCTCTGCATAAAAAGTTACCCCATAGAGCCCTTTAAATCTTTCCCCTCTTAACTTAAACCTATGCCGTCTAGTTTTGGACTCCTCCACCCCAGGGAAAAGACATTGTCTATTTACCCTATCCATGCCCCTCATGATTTTATAAACTTCTAGAAGGCCACCTGTCAGCCTCCAACGCTCCAGCGAAAATAGCCCCTGTCTGATCAGCATCTCCACATAGCTCAATCCCTCCAACCCTGGCAACATCCTTGTTAATCTTTTCTGAACCATTTCAAGTTTCACAACATCTCACAAAATGAACGATCGCTCTGAAAAAACCTGACATTTTAATATTATGAAATAATGGAATAATCTCCACTTACCTGGATGAGTGCAGCTCCAACAACACTGAAGAAGCTTGACAAACAAACCTCCTTGATTTGTACCACATCCACAAACATCATTGTACCACATCATTCCCTCCACCACTGACATTCGATGGCAAAAGTGTGTGTTATCTCCAAGATACACCTTCCAAACTCTCAACCACTGTCAGCCAGAAGTACAGGGGCAGCAGAGAAATGTAAACACCACCACCTGCAAGTTCCTATCCAAGCCACTCCCCATTCTGACTTGGAAGTATATTGCCGTTTCTTCACTATTGCCAAATCAAATTCTTAGAACTCCCTCCCCAGTGGCATTGTCGGTCTACCTACATCAAATGGACTGCAGTGGTAGAAGAAATCTGCTCACCATCACCTTTTTAAGGGCAATTAGGATGGGCAATAAATTCTGGCCCAGCCAGCAACACCCATATCCTATGAATGAAAAAACATCAAAGAACCATGATTCTGCGATGAGTATTTTAATCAAACATGATGAAAATACACAAAACAGAGCAGCCCTGCTGAGAATGATTTCAAAATTCACTCCACTGAATTTAGAAATAGGGTTTAATGAATACGCAGATGAACCTCTGAGGTGAACTGCGATATAACTGTGATCCTCATTGGCCTGCTGTGTTCATCCAGCTCGACATCTTGTTATCTCAGATTCTCCA